GAAATGTCGAGGATACTGCCAGATCCTACAAATAATCCTGTCGAAATGTCGTCGCGCTTCAGTGGATACATAAATGCTGGGATCGTTCGAGTATGAATTACTTGCGTGTTGTGTTGTCGCGATGACGATGTTCTAGCGATTATTTTGCTCGCCTCTTCGCCAGACAAACTCTATAATCTACTTACAATTTTTTGTAGTTTGTATCTTTAACAATTTTTATTTCTCCAAAAATATACCATCGTTTTTACACAAATATAATTATTTTAAATAAAATAACTTAATAGACCTGCTTTGTGCGCATGCATTTAATTAAGAAAGAAACCAATTTAATTTACTAATTTACTAATTAATTACCAATTTAATTGATATTACGCTGTTTTGAATAAATTTACCGACAAATCTAATTGTGAATAAATGTGTTAAATAATCTTAATTAAAATCTTTATTATCAATTCAATAAATTAAGTTCTCATATTATTTTGTCTTCCTGATTCGTGTAAAAAAATCAATAACTGATATTCTGTTTGCACTGATAAAATTTATCTCTTCGATATTTCTATTCATCGTAACACATATACAGCAATACATTATAATGCGAGTTAAACGTGTGTACAACCGAATCTAAACGAAAAAGGTGTAGGAGGAGAGAGAAGGGGATAGAAGGACGGATTTCGCGGAGAATACATGAGAGTATTGAAATGCAAAGGGCATAAAATATATTTGAAAGTTAAATACGAGTCAAGTGGCGCCTCGGTAGGGGATAACCAGACGCGGTGGGAAGTCGAGGGGCCTTTCTCATACCACGCAGAATTTCGACGATTTCCCGGACCTCTATCTGCAAATCCCACCGAGAATTTTGATGCCGTTAAAACTCTCTTATCTCATGAATTCGTGAAGGAACGCGCGCACTCGCTTGCAAGGCCTAAGAATGCAGCAGGAAGGAAATAGATATTATATTATATACTAATATATTTATTATATAGTATATGCTGAGCTTAATATTTTCGTTTACAAGTGCATTTATCCTATTCAGTTACGTTTTCTGTTCTTTATTTCTTCCTCGTTCTTCCTCTCGCACACGCAACATTCGCTCAGGGTAGGAGAATCTATCTCTAGATATCTAAATATAGAAAAAGTGGGCAACAAATTCGATTAGGAATTGAGATGCCACATGCTTAAGTTGTGTACCATACGACAATGTTTCTCAGAAAATTGCTCTTATTTTTTTAGATAACGTATCTTATATGTTCAAAAAGGATGCTAAAGATAAAAGTATATTCTAAAATAAAACTGTAAAATGCAAAAAAAAAGAGAATAAACAAATATTTTCGAATAAAAAAAAAGACGATTGAAGAAATTGAAGAGACGCGCAGTGTCAACTTTTGTTAACAAGGCAGCTAAGAAAGACGAACCTATTTGTCTCCTCTCGCTCAAGACGATCGAGATGGAGCTAACTCGTTCGTTAGCGAGATAATTCTCTCGCGTCCCGATTTCCGAGGATTCTCCATCGCGGCCGCCCCATTGTTCCGCAGCCTTAATGCGCGCGTCGCTGTAAACAGCGCTACAATGGAACAACTTCGTTAGCATAATCGCGTCACAGAGTCACCCGGGCGGCCCCCCGCCCGCCCGCCGCCCCCCTGCCACCCCCGTCTCTCTCCGCCGCTGCGACGGCTCCCTTTCGGATTTTACGGGTGGTTTGCCCGCGCATCCGGGGCCTCCTCCACCTCCTCGTAGGCGGGCCCGATCCGATCCGCTACCGCGTTTAACCGTCGCCCGTCGAGTATTATTCATTGTCGCGATTCAATCGTTCATCTTTGTATCGGGACTATCATAGGCGCAGCGAGAGAGATATGAAAAATTACACTCGCATCCCTTCGGGAAGTGTTCAAGAGGGGAAAATTTATACGATGTTTTCACTTTTCTATAATGAAATTAGGGTTCATTAAAATTTTACCGTTGATAAGAACTACATACACATGTATATACATTTATATACATATATATAAAACGCCAACTTTATATTGATGCATGATACAATGTTCTTTGAGATGGCAAAAACAATTTTTTTCAACAAAAATATCAAAGTGAAAGAATGTGTAATGTTCAGTTCGCTCGCTGACTCTTTGCGTGCTTTTCTCCCAAAAAAGTTTGGTCGACGCCGGTGGAGATTGTGTATTCCTCTGTTACGCATATCTTTCATTCTCCCTCCGCCTCCTTCATACAGATTACAGACTGATTGAAATGGATCACGCTTGTCTGTTGGTTTATTTAATCACGATGAACGAAATGTTCATGCTATGTTATTATATATTTATAATTGCAGAAAACTATATTATTCTATTATTATAATGATTATTATAATGATGAATATAATGAAAAATGCATTCCAAAATTAGTATCGGTATTTATTAAATATGTGTAATAAATTTTTAAATCAATAATTTATTCAATTTTTTAATAAGGAATTAATAGAATTAATATTTGGTAAAGATTGAATTTTTAAAAGTAATAATATATTATTTATCAATTATCTATAGAGACGTTTTCGATTATGAGAGTTAATGACAAATTAATTTAATTACATAGATTAATAGCTAATCAAAGTTCGTTTTTTTCTGGCTGCAAACATTCTTGCGGCAATAAAGGGTTAAACATCCCGTGCTTAATGCGATGTCAATCGGTCAACTTCGCCGATTACCGTTAATTCGCAATTATTATAATTCTCGATGGCATCGAGGCTTCCGCGCGCGTGATGCGTTTCTCTCCCCCCGATGCATCCCCACCGTTCTTTCCGCCTCTCGAACCCCGGGGACGGCGCTCACAATGGAAATGTTAAGCGAGTCGTGGATTCGCAACGCTCGTCACTCTCGTTTGGCATTGGACGAGCGGGGCTCGTGTCTGCGAACGTCAATTTGCGAGACTGGAACGTCGAGGCGGTCGACGGGGTTGATTTCGGCTTCTCTTTCTTCCCGCACCCTCCAAATAAAGCCCTCTCTCTATCCTTCTCCGTCTAGTTGCGCGGATACTCTGTGCGTATGTGTGATAGCGACAGCCGTGGTGGTTGAAATCAAAACACACCCTGGGGGCTGTCCGTCGATTATTATCGTTTGCACGCACTACTCGCGATCATGACACAATCACCCGAGCGACTTTTGACGCCTAATTCGGTGCTCAAACCTCATCCTCGGCCGAATCTCTGAAGTAAAAGCGATGTATATCGGCTGCTTTCTATAATAGAATAATTTCGACGTGTAATATTTATTTCTACGCGATTGTTTTATATTTTATCTGAATTCTTTTTAATTTTTATTTATTTAGCATTTGCGTGATTAAACAGATAACGAACTTTGCCTCCTTGTTTCTGATTAAAGTATTACGTAATATGATTTTTCAAAGACTTTGAAATTTTTATCTACAATTAGATGCATCTTTCTCGCAATTCAGAAAATCTTCAAAGAAGTACAAATTATTAAATAAATCAATCATGAGATAACGCGCGCGCGACACAAGTGATATCATCTTGAAAAGATTACGTAAATTCGTCGGAAAAGCATTAGGTGCTCTTTCCTCGTTAGCTTCTCCTCTACGATTCTTCACAGCCACGGCTTCAATCCGCTCGGAAAAATAATCTTTTTCTCTCATTTTCCCTGTGTCTTTCCCGCACCCTTTCTCTCTTTTCTCTGGCGCCCGCTGCGGACGTCAAAATATGACAGCTCTCTCGAGTCACCACTTTCGCGACAAGAGTTACGTCATGGGGGGGTTGCTACGACCGATCATTAAAGTAAAAGCGCGCTTGTGACTGCTTTCCTCTGTAGAGATACTTAAGTCGCTGTCCGGCCGATTCGCTGTTAATAAAATAAACAACGCTGTTTTTAAAGAACCAGTTTCGGCCCTTAAATTCATCCGTAATTATATTTTGCGTTCAAGATAGCCATCCAATTTTTATTTTAAATAAATTTTTGTACTGTTTGATAGCATTTATACAGATTTTAAAATTATTTTCTCAAATTTTGAGAGTATCCAAAAATTGTTATGCTTGATGAATTCCATGTAAATTGCATTACATATAAATGCAATATTTTAACTTGACTATTATAGATTTTAAAATTTAAAAATAAAATGTTATTTGCTTATATAAACTCGAATATAAAGGAGCGTTGATAATCACTGGCGCGCTTCGCCAAGCTGACGGAAGCGGTAAATGGTTCGCAACCAACCCTCTCGACGAGACGCTAATTCATATTCATAGATGTAGCGTTTAGCATTACGCCGTTAAATTCTCCAGAGAGTTTGTTAAAAGACGAAGTGGCTAATATTTCTATTCGTATTTCCGCTCGTTGAAAAAGCAGTAAAAGTTTCTTTCATTTTTTAAAAATTAATTATTCAAATATGAATTTTGCACAGAAAGATAAACAATTAATAAAACAATTAACATAAAAAGGAAATGTATATTATTTTAGTTTCCTAAATATTATATACAATGTTATGTCTAATATATTAACATAGTGAAAAAGATGTTACTAGATGTGTTATACACATGTTTATAACAATATAATATATAAATATATACATAATATCGTTACAAATATTTGACAACATCCGACATCCTTTCAGCACTCTACAAAATGTTATAGATTATCTTTTTTTCCGATTATATAATTATTCTCATTATATAAGTTAAAAAATTTATAATAGTTGTTTTTATCTTAAACTTTTCACGATTTCTAAATAAATAAAGACTTCAAACATTTGTGATTTTAGTCAAGTAAAGCAGTTTAAACTTATAAGTAAATGTGGAAAAATATCTGTTAAAATATAAAAAAATTCAGTGATTATTAGTACGCGATGAAAAAATGATATTCGAAGGAATCTTTCTGGTTTATTAATCTTTTCATTTTTATTTTAAATCGTAAAAATAAATTAGCAACTTTTAAAATTAGTAATTAATTATGCATTATATATCTAATACAGATTTTTAAATCATTTCTTTCTGAAATGTATCTAAAAATATTATCATTTCACGTTGACAATAGCAAACAATTACTACAAAATGCACAATAAATAATTGTTACAAAAATTGATATATATAGCATTTAGAAACAAAAATACATATCTTATTGCTGAATAATTGCGAATATAGCAGACATTATACACATTTTTCTTGGTTTATTATAAAGAAAAAATATTATGTATTATTTATAGAAGGTGTTTTCGGTTTTATATTTGACTTACGAAAATGATGATAGTTCGGGAGCACTTTCAATAGAAAATCCAACTGTCCAATTTGAGGCTGAAACAGAAAAAAGTAAAAAAATCAAATTTGGAATTATAAAATAAAATAAAAATAATATATCTGATACTCACATATGGTTTATCATTCATTTCTCTACGTTGACACTGACCCCCGAATACTATCGTATTCTCTGATACAATTTCTCGTTCCGTCAAAGAGCATGCAGCTCCAATAACGCATCCGTTAGTTAATTCGATTTCACGACCAATGTTTGCTTTTGGAAAATAAAAATTATTATTTCTGTATGTATAAAATTAAAAATTAAATGCTAGTTATATAATTATTCGAATATCATTCAAATCAATGACAATGTATTAAATGATCATTCTTTAATTTGAAAAATAGTAATTAACGGAAGTTAATTTCCCAGTCAAAATATTAGCATATATTAAAGAGCTTATATACAATACCTTTTGCCTCCAAGATGTTATTATCGCCAACTTTAAATGACTCACAAGTACAATCAGTCTCGAAGACGTTATAGTTTCCTATTATTTGAACTGGTATCGTTGCAGGTTCCTGAGTATCAGGTGGCAATCTGTGTAATAACAATCAATTAGCAACTGGTTCAACTAGAACTATTTCAGTTGCATTTTGTGAATAACGCAAATATATTGAACTTACCTGTTTGCTATAGTTGCCATTTCTTCGATTATGTTGCCTTCTCCTATGATAATTGGGCCAGCTTCCGCTAGAATACATGCTCTGGGATGAATTATAGTTTTCGCACCAATAGTGATATCGCCCTTCAAAATACTTTCCTCGCATACTACTGCACCGGGTGCGATTTTTAAGCTGTATAAACATAAAATACAAATTAGTTGCAAAATAGATCTTGTCGACATCATACCAATGCATAGTGTTCACTTCTTTATTCATTTTCACTAATTATCATAACTCAATACTTAAAAAACGTCGGAATTTGTTCTACATATTTATTATAACAATATCATATGTATATTTATATATTGCATTGTTCTAAATACGTGAATCATTAAGTTAACCTCAAAATGCCAGAAGTCTGGCATTGTAACATTATAATTATTCAAATTTATGGAAAAATTAATGTATATTGTACTTAATACAATTATTATTAAACTTACTTGGCGCGACGGTAGGTCGAGGAATGAGAAGAAATTTTTCCATCCATTTATTCGATGACAGTTCTCTACAGCTGACTACAACAAAGTATATATCGCTTGACATCGATATATCGAAGTATTCGACATATTCTTTCGATAATATCGCACGTGCTCAGGGCCGATGTACGATTTAGTGGTCCCTAAGCTATGATCTTAAGGAGGCCCCCTCTTATTAACAAAAAATACATTTTTTTAAATCTTTTCTATACTAAAGAGGCTCCCTTATAATGTGAGGCCTCTAAGCTGTAGCTTATCTAGCTTATGTGTAGATCCGGCACTGCACGTGCTATTTGAAATTCTTTTCTTCAATATTTAAGATGCTGAAAGATATTAAAAGCAACAAAATCTAAAATTTTCGGCCAATTATTATGTCGTAATTGAGATCCATTGTCTTCTTCTTGTTGTTCAAGTGATTGAGATTTGCCACGATATCTTTCTCACCTGTTCTAGTTATAAAATAAAAATTAATTTCTTAGTAACATAAATCGACAAAATTTATATAAATTTATTATTTAAGGAAATACTATTGTTATATTATTAAATTTAAAAAATTACTTCTACAAATTGTTATCCTTAAATTTTTATCATAATAAAACTATAAATATTTATTGCGTACATTAATATTAATTATGAGATTACTAATCTAAAATAAAAATAATATTTCAAAAATAATTTTTTTAATATATTAAATAATAATACAAAATTCAAAAATAAAAATTATTTAAACATCATTATAATTTATTTATAAATTATTTTTAATTAAAGATAACAAGTAAATTTAAGAATTATATTACTTTTTAAATATTAAACAGAAGATTAATTATTAAATTATAATAAAAATAATTCCTAAAATATTCTTATATCGGTACATTTGAAGAAAAAGAAAGTAAAATTTTAGCAACATTGTCGTATCACTATAAATAATTCCTCTTTATCAAAAGTAAATAAATTTCAGGAACCAATATAATATTCCAAATATGCATTACATTGAATATATGACTTTAATACATTAAGCACTTTTGGTTAAAATGTTGAATTATATTTATTTTAAGATATACATAAGTAAAATAGTTTAATGTTATAATATGATAAAAATTAAAGGATCCACAGTGAGAACATTATGTTGTGCAAATACTTTCTGTATTCATTTAAGCTATTTTTAGGGATACGAGAGAAGGGAAACTTCGATTGTGATTGCGCAACAAAAGGGATAATGTATTCACACATGAGAAACACACGAGTACCTTCGTTTAGATATTTAATATAACTCTATATTATCCGTCAACTTTTATTTATTATATATATTTTTTTATATATTATATATTATAAAATTTAACTCCAAATTGCGATAAAATAACGTCTAATTGCAACGTGCGTGCGCGTGTACGTGTTGCGCCTTATTGTACGCGTGTGTATATTAGTGTATTATGTGTATGTGTCTTTCATGTGTCCGTGTATGTGTACGTTATTATATATAATTTGTGTATATGTATGTGTGTTGTGTGTTTTTTTTTTACTCTTGAGTAAAGGGGATAGAGATGTGAGCGAAGAAGGGTCGTAGATGGTATGCATTTTGCATTCGCGCGTAACGTGACTGTGTACGTGTTTGATCTACAATTAAACGAATCCTACGCACTTACTCGTTAATCGGCAGAATAATATGCATTTTCTTAATTTTTCGCTATAAGTATAATGCAACCGTCCGAAAGCGTGTCAGTCGGCGCACCGTGACGGATTCGCCGTCGCTCTCGTCGATCTCTTTCTGATTGCACTCAATTTTCTCGAATGCATATGAAATCTGTCTTCTGCGCGTAATTACAAAAGAAGCCATTTCAACTTTGTTCAAAATAATAAGAGATTAACCTTTTCTATTCATTAATTTTGTCAACAATGCCCAGATTGAGATTTATTAAAACAGATTATAATTTAATTCTTTTTCCAGTTGACGCACAAAGATCATAAGTCCAGCTTTTATCCAGTCTTTCAGAAGAGGCAATAGAAAAATTACATTTTTCCTGCAAGTTGTGATATAGTAGCAAATATCAATCGAACTTAACAATGTTGATAATCAGTCATGTGTAAATATCACATAAAATCCGCTCAAAAAAGAATATTTTCTATCTATTATTAAATTATTTTATACACTAAACTAAAGTTCAACTTGAATTTTTTGCCCGTCCTAACACTATAAAATGAACTGATGCAATCACCGTAAAAGGTAAGCCTTAAATTCGGAGAAACTAATTTTTATCCTTATTTGTAGGAAGAAATAATATTCGAGCAACGTAAATGCGTCGCTGATCCATTAATACTTAAAAGTAATTTAAGTTAATTAAAGCTGCCTTTTTTGTGATGTTAGATACTTTTACCTTTTGTGAAAAACTGAAGAAAATAGACTTACAATTTCTTCGTAGTAAACATTTTTAATTATCATTGTTAATATAAGTTTATTTGGAAAATTAATATATGAGAAGAGAGAGAAAATGTTGACGCAAATGTTGACTGTAAAAACAATCTGTATGCTAGAATACAACTGATTTCGCATATGCATCCGAGAGTTATTCCACTCACTCGCCTAATTACAATCTTATTGTATTTTATTGATTGTGATTTCATCTTATTCTAAATTCTGTCGTAAAATAATGTTTCAATTTTCATAATAAGTAAGTCGTTCTGAAGATAACCATGAAAAATAAAAGTAATCATTAGATTCGATTGAAAATTTTCTGATAATTCAAAATCTCAAGTTTGTCAGAAGCACGAAGCGTCATTATTTTAGCAAATTTTTAATGAATAACTTCTCGTTCTTTTCTTTTTTGTTACTTTTTTCCAGTAATAATTGAAATTAAAAAATTCCAATCTTGAGAATTGATTTAATAAAATGCTCAGACGTTCGAAAAATATAGAATTAATAGATCTAGAAATCTAATAAACTCAAAAAGAATTGTAAGATTTGAAGAAAGTTGAAGATGTATGTATACGCAAGTATCAAAATTAGATCTCATTTGCAAGATCAGTGTCCTCTCATTTTTTGTTTAGTTTAAAAGATACGAAATATTAACATTCTATTAACATAAAAAAGTAGAAATATATAAATACACATAATAGATCCAACTGACAATAATACATTCTTAACACTTTCGCGACCGCCAATATTCGACTGCAAATTTATGCAGCTTTGATGTTGGTACATTTAACCCATTACAAGCGGCATTTGTCATGTTTATATTTATATTATGCTTTTTTATATAAAATTGTGTTACTAAATACAAGTATGAGTGAAGTGCAACTACTGTAAGAAATAATAATGATGGGCATAGATGAAAAATTAAATGTGTGTGTGTGTGTGTGTGTGTTTGTGTGTGAAAAGTTTTAGAATTTCTAGCAGAAACAATTTATTTCGTTATAAGCTTTTGAAAATGGAACGATAATGGGTTAAAGCCGTGATAATTGTTAGAAACCACTCTACCCTAAACAGTATAAATCATTTTACTTACTTTATGTAATATAAAGGGGGGCCAACGGACGCTGTATAGATCGTAATGATAAATGTTTATATACACAAAAATAAAAAAAAAATATATATATCTGAAATCTATACATTATGGAAATTAGATTTTATTCATTTATATTAAACTTTATAAATACAAACAAATAATAATAGTGCTATAAAGGTTCTATAACGTCTTGTAATTAAAAACGGTCTGTCAGACCCCGCTTATACCGTTTAGGGTTTACATAATTAGCTGCAATAATTTTTAACTTGCCTTAAACAAACTTCACTATACAATGAGACGATTAGTATTCGCACGTCAACGCTATAAGTAACTTTTAAATAAAAATGTTGTATCCTATGTATATGTATATTTCACATGATCATTAAATCTACATTACGAGCTATATATCTTTAAAAGATGCTTAGAGAGTTTATCGCGTCATAACAAGTTAAAGATATTTAATAATAAAAGCAAAAGTGTAGAGCTTACAAATATTACTTTTAGTATTTCAGCTTGCTTCTTAACAACGTACTGTTATTTATAGCAAAAAAAAATGATGACGTACGAATACTTTTTTTTTTTCAATTTCTGTCTCTTAACAACATAATTTTATACTTTTAGCAGCGACGCGAAGGCGTACGAATACTTTTTTAATCGGCCCAGCACCCAACGATGTAATTTTCATCTAAAAATACGCGGCAGTCGCGAAAGTGTCGGCGAACCGTTATTAAATTCTTCCCGATCTTCGTCTTAATCTTCGATCGACGACAGCGAGGAAAGCCGATGACGGTGCGTATATAAACGCTTCGTAAGGGTGTCTCAGCGCGCGACGACGAGCTATTGTATCTTTTTTTCTTTTTTTTTTATCCATATGAAGTACGGGTTTTTTTTTTTACGTATAAAGAGACGCATCATACAAGTGCCGTACAGTACCAAAAACGTTTTTAATGCGCGCGCGTAATGCGATCGATTAGCTCTATCTACGTCTGCATCCGTGAAAGTCGCATCCGCGCGTTGATTCATATAATCATTTCTCTCTCGCTCGCTCTTCACTTTCATTCTCTCTTTCTTTCTTCCCTTTCATTCCCTTTCTTTCTCTCTGTCTGCCTTTGCGTGTGTGTATGCATGTAAGTATATATGTTATGCATGTATGTGTGGGCTTGTGAGCGTGTCACGTGTCACCGTTATCCGTGAGATCCGGTCAGGTTGGTCCAGGGACGAAATTCCTTTCTACAACGCTCGTCGTTCTCATTAATAGAGGATCGTCGAATCTCGATCGTTCCGCCGAAATATATATATATATACTCTCATATATATATAGCGTTTATATATATTTATTTATATATTTATATAGTTTTATTTATTTATTTATATATGTATTTTTATGCTAAAGTAGCTCAGAACTACACTCAAATCACTACTCGAAGTCGCGACGGCGGCAGAACGCGTGACCGTTGCCGACGTTTTGCATTTAAGCTAATTACTGGTAAAAGAGAATGCGTTTATTCGCTGAACGTTCCTGCTAAATCGAAAGAAATTTTCCGTATTGAGTAGATTATATAATACACGTTAATATGACGATGCGCGCGCGATTAAGAGAACATCTAGATGAAACTCTGTCGTATCTTTAAATAGAAGAAGTGCTTTATCATATACTTACTCCTTTAATCATATCGTTCATTCAACTCATTCAATATCTGTGTGTTCATTGAATATTTAGCGAACAAACGCCTCTTTTACCGGCTCTACGAACGGAGAGAAGTTTCGATCGTCTCGCGGCTCGTACAAGCTAATCACAATAATGACGACTGATAGATATTTATCAGCTCTATCACCTTTATCGTCTTTTCAAATTCGATCAACTCTCTTATTTCCTTATTTATTTGTTCTCATCAACATTTATTATTCAGATTTTTTATACTTTGCTTCATTTCTCAGTTTTCACGAGTAATTCTAACAATTTTCATCACATGTTTTTAAATTGTGTTCACGCCTTTATTTATTATAAAACTTTTACTTTTTACATCATCATATATTACGCGTGCAAATTTCTTCTGCAATAAATTTTATTCCCTGTCTGCAATTAACGATTAATATATATTTATAAAAACAGCAATTAATAACAAAAAGCAAGATAAAAATAAAACGGAGAAGACGATCGAGCGAAAGTTCGAGGAGAAAACTCTGAAACGTGATAAAGACACTTCCATCATTATCATTATCGCGCTTAATTACACCTAACTTCGGCATGGTTCCATGTTTCCTCGCCCTCTGCAATAAGCTCTACCCTTCGTCGACGTTATTTGCTCAGTTCGCCCGCTCTCGTGCTCTCGTGTTCAACGGTGCGATAATATCGGTCTCTATCTGTCGCGTGAGCGACCCGATCGAGATTCTCTTCTCATGAAACGAATCCTCAAGTATATTATAATTATTATAATTATTATAATTATTATTATTATTATTATTAATATTATTATTAATATTATTATTATTATTATTATTATATTTACGTCGTCCTCGGACCATCCTGGCGAGACTCGGTTAATCACCATTCTCCTCTCCCCCTCTCCTCCCTCTCCACTATTTTTTTAGTTAATACAATATATACTTTATGTATGTATCGTAACAACCGATATTTCAGTTCTCTCTCTCCGATCGTGCACTCGTACTCGTTTTGTTTCACTTCTCATACTCACATACTCACATTCTATCGCTCTCGCTCGCTCGTTTTCGCACGCATCCGCGATTTCTCCATCTATGTAATATAATCTTATAACGACACGCGTATGTGTATACACTTTTGCGTCGGTGAGACGTATCGTGCGCGCCTGTATGCACATACGCATCCACACTATGTATATATTTATATTTATATTTATATATATATATATATATTTCTTCTGTATATATACTTTATGTTGCTTTTTATGTATACTTTATATATAACAATGTTATGTTTATTTAAGGCCCAATACGTTCATTACGAAGGAAATAATCTGCAACAGAAAGGAGACAAGTATACGGTTAAATAACGCTTGTACCTGGTTTGCTCCCTGTCGTAAGCACCGTACGAGTATAGAACTATTCAGTCGACAAGTTGTGTGTGTATGTGTGTATTTCTGACGTCGTCATCATTGTCATCGTCGTCGCAATCGTCGAGGGAGATTGCGTATAAGATGATCGCGATTCCCTAGACGCCAGTAGATGATCTACGCGTGATCGGGCAAAGCGCTAACTTAAGTCAACTTGCCAATTTTTTTCGTAATTTAAGCTTTTCATATACTCAATTTATAAACAGCGAATATCATATTTCGGAATAAGATGAAAAAGTTCGGAAATGCATCGTGAACGAAATGTAACATTGATCTGATGATTGATTTGAAATTGTCGCACAAATGCTGTATTTCATTAGCCGCTTATTTATCATTGATTGATTTAAAGAGCTATATGTTTATGATTCATCGTGTATCTCCTTCGTTCATAAGAGAAAAAAATAATACTGCAATTAACTTTAAAAGTTAAATTTAAAAAATCTTTCTATTTTATTGTAAATATTTGTATAAATAATTAGATAAAATCGAGCTCTGTGAGATGTGTGCGTACTCCTTTTGTCAAAAATAGTAAAAATTGCATAATTTTTTTGTTTGCAATCATCTAAAATATGTTTGAATAAATATTTTTATATTCTAATTTTTCTTTTTCATTAAAAAGATCATGTATAGCATATCTTTTGGGGTAACTTTAGTCTCTTTAAACTGCAAGAAAGTCTTCAAACAGAGAAATAAGATTGTAAAATGCTGTTGTATAAATCCTTAACATGAACATGAACTGTCTCAACGATTGGCGAGACCATGTACCAGCGTTTTAGTCAGCTCGATGTGTTTTCTTGTTCGCGTGAGTCTACCATATTATTTCTTCTATTTTCCTAGATTTACCTTAAGCGTGCTTATCTTGACGTTTCCTAGGAAGAATCATCCGCCCGAGGATAGGCAACTAATCGGTTATCTCTTAAGAGAATTATTCGGTGTTTTTTAAGACAGTCCATCGTGACATATATTTAAGAGCCTACCGGACATTTAATTTGATTTAAAAGCGAAAAATTTTAATCTCAGAGAAGAATAATGTTAATTTGCATGGCAGCATTATTTCCTAAAATACAATACAATTGACACAGCAAATTAATTACTTCAAATAACTTTATTACGTGTCGGTGGTGAGTGAGAAATACAGAACGTTCCAAAAGATATCATGATAGCAAGAATCATTAGAAGAGTATATTAAGTAACAGTTATCGTTAATTAATTATTTATCATAATGCTAAAAATATACATTGCAAATTAAATACAAACTAAGCTATTGCCTATTTATCGATTTCATACAAAGTTAATTTAAATAAAAATAAAAACAAGCTTCAAGATAACTAAATAAAGTTTTATAAATAAATTGCGCAAATAAATTCTTGTCAATATCAACTCGAATAAAAGAATGAAAACAAATCTTGCTATTGATTCATATATCTCTCCTCAAGCAATCGATTCTCTTTCGGACAGCCTGTTGTTCAAAATTCAACGAAATTTCCACTCACGTCGACATTAAAACATTTTGCGTCTCCCTTATAATTATGCATCTTTGCGAATTATCTACTACTATCTTCAAATTCGAACACATTAATTGTAACATTTTGTCACTACAAACGAGAAACATCTTAAAATGTACATAGATGAATATAACGTGTAACGCAGCGAATTAGAATTATAATTGTGACAAAGTATGTTTTAACAACAAAGAATAATAAGTTAATATGTTCTATATAGTATATTCTATAGTATGTTCAATAAAACCCAAATAAATTGCATACGCCATCCGGTAGGCTAATCGTTCGAAATCCAAGCCATCTTATTTAGAGCAATCACGAGTTCGGAATGAATGGAATTGCGGAGAGTGAATCGGATTCAAATTAAAATTTTGCATTCTAGATAAAGTGTCATGAATAGTAACACCTCTTTAGCATTCAGAATAGATTGACAAAGTAGATTGATGTGGAGTTGACAAAAATAATTCCACGAACGATTCATCTATTAAAAATCTGATTCAGCCTTTAATCGTATTCACTCTCCCTTATTATATTTTAATTTCTCGTTCAGGACGTCCAAGAAATATAGTATTTAAGATCTAATATATGCATGAAAAATTTAAAAAACATTTGCAAAAAAATTGAAAAAACGAAAACATTTGATTTAAAAAGAAATTAAGGTATTATTGTGATTACCATATATTGCAAAAATGTTATTTTTTTTTGGAAAAATCAGAGTCAAGGACGTTTCCGAAGGAGAAAAAGAATTCATCTCTTTTCGGTTCAGATTCTTGGTAACCGTATACGCATAACTATAAATTATTTTTTTCCATTTTGTCAGTTTTAACCCTTCTAATGGTAGTAACGAGCTTTTCTTATCAACTTATTAACTTTTTTATCGTATTATGCAGCAAGAGAATCTTAGTTAGTCAGATATAATATTATTTTAGTTTTACAAACTGTAAATAAAAATGGATCTCTGACTAAGGATCTTCTCCAATTTATCTAAAAACGTTAAATAAATATAATTTACCGATTGAAGAGTTAAAATTGGCATACTATTGTTTATTATATCGTATTCATCGCCATAAATTAAGATATAAAAAATTCGTACACGCGGACAATCGAGTGTTTGCTTGCTTCCGTTATTTTCTTAAAGATTCACTCTTTTCCTCTTTCTTGAAATTTGAACAACAAAAACGATATATATACAATATAGCAATGCAAAACTCCTTCACGTTTAATACATTGGTACTCGGACAAGCAATTTTGTGAAAAGCGATGTCAGATAGTCATTTATGTGCGCAATAAAATATATTAGTTCCGAAATATATTATCGTTTTTTTTTTTTTTTTACTAAAGAGAGCGTATTCACATAATAATTAAGAATAAATTTTTTGCATATTTATGTGTCAACTTGATAATAGAAAAGAGTAAAAAATGTTAACAACTATCAGAAAAGTGTTGAAATATTTTTCTACATTTATTATGTTTATTAATTCTTAATAAATCAAACTTTGATTTAATATATACTGTTACTATGTAAAAAGTAATATATTTTTATTTAATTCATGCTTCTCGCTTATTTTCCTTCCTTTTATATGATTAAATAGATATAAAGTAAAATAAATATAAAAAATTGAAACGTCCATATTATATCACGTATCTTTGCCTTAGAATATATGATTCTTTTCTTGTATTGATAGTAGCTCTTATTTACTTATTAGCTTTTTGTTTTTAACAAGTGATTGCATTATCAAGAATCTTTTAAATACAAGCCCGCTTGTATTATAACCGTTTGTACAATTTCATTCAAAAATTTAATTTAAAAATCTAAAAAACATATGTAGTGTGTATTACGTGTGTGTATGTGTGTGTGTGTGTGTATTGTTTATTTCGATATATCTTAATTAATATTTAAAAATTACTATATTTGTCTAAAAGCGTAACAAAATTACAAAAGATCACTGGATCACGTTAAAAATAATTTAGAGTATTTTTTTACATAAAGTACCTGCATAAGAAGCTACATTTTAAAACGTGTCGCTTTGATTTATTTCAAATGTTTAAATAATTAATATTAAAATTTTATATTTCTGATCATCAATTTTAAATTATTGAATCTTTATTTTGCGCACAAAATTCATTATATTATTATTATTATATATTATAATTCATCACCTTTATATACTATTTCTCAAAATGCAAATAAAATAACGTTAAACAGTTTTCAATCATTTGAAACGTAATTCTAAAAACTTTGCACATACCAGTTAAATAATTATTTTAATTATCTAATATGAGAATCGCATTTATATCGTAATAACGAGCTGAACACAGCTATACTTAGCGCTAAAGCACAGAAATCAGATTGATCGTAGAAATTAACCGACATCGTTTCTCGCTTCTCCGAGTACCCAACACTTATTAGAGTTTCCTTAAAATTACTCGTGTTAAAAATACGAATCTCCGATTCGAAGACTCGCGGTCGAACAAGCTAACGTAATGTAAATGACTGCCACGATTTACGTTGCCTTTGCCCCATTATTTCTAATAATACGGGCAAATAACTCTGTCTGATCGCTTCGCGACGAAAACGGATTATCGATACGATCGATCAATCTGTCGACGACACGCGTGTCATCACATCCTCCGTCATCGGGATCGTCCTTATCTGAGCCGGTTCGCGGATTCTTCCTAGGAAGCGTCGCCACTTCCGGTCCCCCCGGGCCACGAGATCGTCGGGTATCTGTCTTCCGGGACGGTCGAACTCACCTTGACCGAGCAAGGTCCGCGACACTACTCGCGCTCCTGTCCGCTCGGCAGCGCCTGGACGACGCTCCGCGCCGCATCGCTCGTTCAGCTGTCGACACTGAAGAGCTCCTTGTGGAGGGCCGGGAACTCGAGATGCGGCTGCGATCGCTTGAACTTTGCCAGTGCGTCCATGTGCAGCAGCGAGATCTCCCGTAGCTGCGGTATCTTTGCGAGAATCGCGTCGCACACCGTCACATCGCCCTTGATCGGCGTCACGTGATTTCGATCGAGTTCCGACCTCAGTGCCCTGATCACCGCCTGCGACAGCCTATTGATGTCGCCCAGGCACTTCAGTCCCGGTCGATCTGTCATTTTTACGCAAGATACAGTAAATCAGTGAACTGTGGTGAAGAGGTTGAGAGTATAACATTATTATTATTATCCATGTGATCCTCGCATGGAAACTGATGTTTAATTTTATACAATTTTTAGCAAAAAGTTTTTGATCAGAAGTTGAATATTTTATAATTAATTTAATATTGATAAAATAAAAAATATATACTTGGTATACGTTGAACTGTACGTATAGTAAGATAAATATAAGTATAAATACTCGACATATCGTCAAAATTTTCGATAGTACATTTGTACTTTGCCAACGTTTCTTGATTGCAATTTTCGAAAGTTTTGTCCGACGGGTATGAAACGTCCTGTGCACGTTCGTATCACTTACCAGGGCTAAGTAGAACAGCCGCGCTATAGAGCGCCAACTCGGTTTCAGTGAGCTTCAGTTCGGCGATGCTTCTGGCCAGCTCGAACACGCAGGAAACAAGCTTCATTTCCGCCGTATCCGTCGTATAAAACGCCTCCTGCGGCAGCAAGGTGTCACCATACAGGACGCAGTTTTGCTGGAGATCGAGGTACCTGCTCATTCGTAGCACAGCCAACTCGAAGGAACCTGTTACATTTTGATAGAATATCAGCATATTACAATATTGTTATCTTCACTTATCTAACTCTTTTAAAGAACTGAAGGACGTTATTTTCTAATTCTAATAAAATCAGAAATAATTATACATATCAATATCTATTGATTCGTCAACGCTTAAAGGAAGTTGGTAAATTTTCCACAAACTTTTATGTCAAATTATTGTTCCGATCATAAAATGATTAATTTATATTAGAAAAAATTAGCTGCTGTCGATTACTTTAGATAAATGATAGCGTAATGTACTCACCTATCCCATTTATATATAAGATTTAAAAATAAGATAATTAATCTCTAGATTATTCATTGAATTCTTATAAAACTTATCAACAAATTATAAGCAAAAAAAAAGAACAATAAATCTTTATCACTGGTAGGCGATTATTTCGAGAAAGCATGCATATGCAGATGTAATTACGTACCGGCTTTTAACAAAACAATCTGGTCGTCTTGCGAAAGCTTCATGAATCCGGGGACCATTTTGGCGAACTCGATGATCTGCTGGATGACGGTAGTCAATTTCTGAGCGCACTCCAGCCAAAGCTGCTCGTGCGCCATGTTCTTGTAGTAGATCATTCTGGAGATGTCGGTGGGCTTCCGGAAGGACTCCTGGATCTGTTCCGTCGACACCAGGCATGTCCTTGCGTGCGCGTCCGCTATCGTTTTCGAGAGAAGCTCGCTGATCTGTGCCGGATCTGCGGAAACCCAGCGAATTTTTCGATCGTGATTTACTCTCACCGCAATAAACGAGTCTTGCATATAAAAACAGCGAATACAGCGAAAGGATGTCGGCGGAGAAAAAAGCCTCAAGTAACTTTCAAGCGTGATAAACACACAATGCAAGCATGTGATTCATATTAATTCCTTGCTGCATATATTATAGTTGCGATCGCACAAATTGCTTTTTTCAATAATTAGATAAATTATTTTCGTTGGTCGCATAAAATAAACTGCAGGAGATATCTTTCTATGTCAAAGATACTTGACGTAAGAAAGTATCCTATAAAAGATATAATAGTGCTAATTTAAAAAAAATGATTTACGAATGATTATTGCGCTGTGCAAAGATAGTATAAAAATTGTTTATAGCATCTGTGATTAATTCATGCAAAGTTTATGGAATTTGATGTTATATGCTTGCAATGCTGCTAGATATTAAATGTACAATTAAAATTAAAGCTACTAAAATATAAGCGTCAATATAAGAAAACAAAAAATATGTATAATAACTCTAGAATGCAAAATATTCTTGCTTCTAAAAAAACCATAATATATCGATTTACATTTTGTATGTACAATAAAACCAGCGATATATTCAAAAAATGCAACTGTCAAAAATATCCAAAGAGGATTACATGAAACCTACATTTTGTACAACTAAAACATGCAAAATTAATAAAAACACAAAATTTATATAGGATTTACAGATTATTTGAAAAATCAAGAATATAAAAATTGCCGTTATAAACACAAAGAATTTAGTGCTTAAACAAAGCATTCGACTATCTACAAATAATACAAAAGCTTAGTAACAGTGTAATGTAAATATTTTATTTTCGAAATAAAGTCTTCGAGAACTAACTTTATAATGTGAATACTATTAGTTAAATTTAGTGAAATATTTTATAATAATTTCATCGTGTCGGCAAGTGGACATAGATAGTGCCATAGCTTGTAACATAAAAGAGCAAGTAATTTCCATTTTTGAATAACTGTTTATGAATTTTTCATGAGGCTGGACTACTTTCCATGTTGATTAATGAATTTTGCTAGTAAATCGCCTTTCCTCGAAAGAAAGAGAAAGAAGGAGAGAGATTCCAGTATAATGTAATAAATTTACTTCACCATTATCTTAAATTGTTTTAAAACGTTACAATGCTACATTCAAAATATTTATAATCTTATTTGTAAAATATTATAAACTTCGACAAAAGGCGAAGACTCAAACTGATAATATAGTGTATCAATCTTAACAAGAAATATATTTTTAGAACTTTTTAAACTATATATATAAGTAATATATAAAAAAAAAATTCAAACCAGTATATTCAATTTTATATTGAAATAAACTTTTAAATTTAAATTTGTGGTATTCAAAGATTTTATATTGTAATGCAATTTTTGATCCAGTAAATTTTTGCGTTGTACGAAGAATTTTTTCCTTGATCATTACTGTTGGAGTCATTTAAAATATGCTAAAATAAATGACAATAAACTTTCTTAATTTGATTTCACGAGTGGGAGATCTTCTTCCATCTCCCCAACTATGTCCTCCGGAGGTTTCCTGCAAGGGATCGGCAAGCGAGTGAATCAATGAAGAGCGATCGCATGCCCATGCAAAGGGACACAAACGTAATCTCACATCTCATCACATGGGACATACTGGGCAGACTCGGTACTTCGTCGTCTTCGGATGGGTTGCTGACCCTCTGCTGTTGGCTGCTCAGGAAGGTCGTCGAGTCGACCATCGTGTACGAGCCGTGGCTCAGGCCGGCGAGCTCGACGGTGGTCTCTTGCTTCACGGCAACGATCCCGCCGCCGCTCAACGAACCGCTGCCGCCACCGCCGCCTCCACCTCCGGCAGCCCCGCCGGCGGCCGCGGCTGAACCACCGCCGCCGCCGCCGCCGCCGCTACCACTACCACTACCGCTACCAGCACCGCTACCACCGTTACCACCACCACCACTACCGCCGCCGCCGCCGCCTCCGCTACCGCCACCGGCACCGCCACCCCCCGCGCCGCTCCCAGTCGTCGAGGCGGACAGAGACTTCCCTGATGCGCCGAAAAGTCAAAGTTCACGAGGGCTTGAATTGGTCTCGGGGGTTGGGCCGAATAGGTCTAAATATTTCAGCCCTGTGAATGAGTCCTATGAAGGGCCTATCTTACGCCTGGGCAAACCAGACACGTGTCTTTACTTCCCTTTTATTAAAGAGTAGTATAGGGAAATAGTGTCTTCTTTTTCTTTTTTTTCTTTTTTTTTTAAGTAAAAAGTAGTATTTAAATCTGTGATTCCATGGATAATATATGTTCTTTAGATTCCCAGAATTCCAAAGATAGGCTCTACCTATGTGGGGTGCTTCGAATGAAGGAGGGAAGTAGTGTTTTTCAAGGAAAAATGAGTCAAAACGTGTAAAAAATATTTAGTTTAAAAATTCTGGTCATTAAACTCTAAAATTTGCAATATTAGACAGAGTTTACTATTACAGATTTTATTGAAGTAGTTACTATGCAAAATTGAATGCATCTAAAATTCTATTAACGGTAATAGTTAATGATTTCTCGGGATGCTCTCTACACAATAAAACTTCGTCTATATCCAATTGAACTGGGTTTAAACTATTACCGAAACATCTGCAAAGCTTCACATATAAGTTTGATTAAAGTTTGAAACCTGCCTCTTAATAAATAAAAAGATAAGTGTATCATGGCGTATATCATAGGTAGATCTATGTAAAATATGATATTACATTTAAATGTGTAATGAAATGTTCCTGCAGCAGAGTTGAATGTGTTCGTGCTCTATTCTGATTGGCAACTCTGCTGCGATTAGAATAATTTCTATTACAGTACATAACATTCACGTGGGAAAAATTTTGTATTCGAATTCGGTAATAATTTTTCTTAATTTTTAAATGGTAGTGTATAAAAATATATATTTTTTTAATTCAGTATTATGTTATTAATTTATATAATTTATGAAACAAACATTTTGTAACAATAGTTAATTCTTTGGTAATACTAGAAATTAGTTTTTTATTTTCTAGACTTTCAAAAAACAGTTTCCATGAATTTGCATACAGTTTAATGAATTATTAATAAATTAAAAAGATACAAAACAAATATTTTTTAGCGTTTTTATTTAAAAATTGTGATAATAATTGTAATATATTTAATAATTCTTTTTTCTAACAAAGATATCCTGTTCAGTAACTAGTGATACACATCGTCGTCGTATCAGCCGGTTGTATGACGCGTTATTGATCTATTCCGTATCTCCGGAAAGTTTCGTGTATTGAATCGAACTTAGACTTGATCAATTTCAACTAACGTGTTACAAGCTTTGTTAATTAAATTCAAGTTAAGGCGGACGCAATCGATTTTGCGCCTGGGAAACTTGGAACACAAGTATTTTACCACACAAGTTTGTCGTACTAATACATTGATAAATTTAATGCCAGAATTTTTAATATATACAAAAAATGTAAAAAATATACGAGTTAGAAATATAAACAGCCAATATAAATTATATTCGCAAATTTTTGTAACAAATTTTTAATCGGTTAGGTATAAATTATTTTATTTGCAAACGACGTAAAAAAAGCATATCATATAATGTAAAAATAACAATTTTTGTGCAAATTATAATATTGTTTATGTAGATAGATGAAATCGTGATATAATTTCTGTATAAAATTTTCCAAAAAACAACAGAAATATTTACAATATAAAAGTGAACAATGTTAATATATAATATATTTGAAAATTTCTATTTTTTACAATTATAAGATTAAAATTAGATAAAAAAAGGTAAATTTTGAAAATAAACTTTATGTCAACATTGCAGAAACCATTGTCGCGCAATAGAACATAAAGAATATTTGCGGTTTTGACTGAGAAATCATAATTAATGACAAGGAGGCTGGATGGAGGAGAGATCTGGTGACATTAAAGACGCGATGCAATTAACTGCGGGTTAATGACAGTGCTATGGAATGCGTTTAACATGCCAATTATAAAGTGAAAACTTAACAGTTATCCCTAGATTACAATTCCAATTTGGCGCGTACTTATTAAAATAATCCCTTATGCAAGCGCGCTAATTTTAATCTTTATATAATACATCGAAATAAATTTATGGTGATGAGAATTGCATGAACATTTATATAGAATATAAAAGAGTGATGCAGTGGAAATTTGTGAAAGTATTATCCTTTTCAGTTCTACTATCCTATCGCAATTTTTATCATCTAAAGTGAAATGGAAGTTTTATATATCACATTTTAATGCGGCAATAATACGAAAGGCTAACGTGTCAAACGGTTAATTCTATAAACCGGAAAAGGTTTTAAATAAATTTCGTATTTGTATTCTTTAAAGCTTTAAATTTT